CGGGTCACCCAGCATGTCCTTAGCAGATGTGGGTTTGGAAGGAGCTGAACCAGGACATGGCCCCCAGCATACAACCCTGTGGTTCTTGGCCAAGCCAAGGCCTTAACACTAGGCCCCACCTTTGTCCTACTCCCAGGGAAGGTGCCACACCACTCACTTGTGAAACCACCAGCTCTCCACCAGCTCCTCACTCAGCTCCAGCAGGCGGTGGCACTCGAAGTCCGACTTGCTGCACACGCTCTCAAGCACCTCTACCAGGCGGGTCTCACTGACCAGACAAAGCAGGAGTGGCGAGAACAGGCTCCACCCAACCCCTCCTCAGGTCTCTCTCCACCCTTCCTCATGCCCATGACAACATCCAAGGAGAGGTAGTGGGCCAAAATGGAAGGGGTTTTGGTTCAGGAACCAAACAGACTTGGGTTCAAATATAGTTGTGTGACCTTCAGAGACAACCTCTCTGAACCTCTGTTTTCTCATCTGTAAAATGGGGACAACAGTACCTCCCCTGCAGGTTTTTTGGAAGATATTTTAGTTCTTGCATCTGAACAATGGAATATAATACCCTTGCTGGGTAGATATCATATAACAAGCGTTGGCAAAGATGTGGAGAAATTGGAACCCTCCTACGTTGCAAGTGGAAATGCAAAATGGTGCAACCACTGTGGAAAAACAGATCCTCAGTAGGTTAAACATGTAATCACCATGTGATCCAATAGTTCCACTCCTGGGTATATGCCCAAAAGAATGGAATACAGGTGTTGAAACAAAAACCTGTACATCAATGTTCATGGCAGCACTATTCACAACAGCCAAAAGGTAGAAACAACCCAAATGTCTATCAACTTATGAATGGATAAACAAAATGTGGCATATCCACACAGCAAAATATTACTCAGCCATAAAAGAGAATGAAGTACTGACATATGCTACAACTTGGAAGAACCTTGAAAACATTATGCTAATTGAAAGTAGTCAGACACAAAAGACCACATATTGTTTGATTCCAGTGGAATCAGCAGATCCACAGAGATTTCTGCTTGTTTAAAGCAGATTAGTGATTGCCAAAGGCTGGGGGAAAGGGGGAATCGGGAGCTTAACAAATATGCGGTTTCTTTTTGGGGTGATGAAAATATTTTGGAACAAGACAGTGATAGATAGATGCAATGGTAGCACAACATTGTGAATGTACTAAATGTCCCTTTGGTTAAGTTTTTTTATGTGCATTTTACCACCATTAAAAAATAATAAATAAACATATAAATATACGATGTATGAGGGGTCTTCAAAAAGTTCATAGGAAGATTCATATTATCTTTTAATTCAATTTTTCCACAAACTTTTTAATGTACCCTCATATTATATTATGTATTTAAAGCACCTGACAGAGTACCTGCCATATAGGAGATTATTAAAAACAACCCAGGGCCGGCCCGTGGCTCACTTGGGAGAGCATGGTGCTGACAATGCCAAGTCAAGGGTTAAGATCCCCTTACTGGTCATCTTTTAAAATAAATAAATTATGTACCCTCATATTATATTATGTATTTAAAGCACCTGACAGAGTACCTGCCATATAGGAGAAGATTATTAAAAACAACCCAGGGCCGGCCCATGGCTCACTTGGGAGAGCGTGGTGCTGACAATGCAAAGTCAAGGGTAAAGATCCCCTTACTGGTCATCTTTTAAAATAAATAAATAAAAATTAAAAAAACAACCCAGGAGCCATTATAGAGCTGGAAGTGCCTTTTTAAAATAAATAAATAAAAATTAAAAAAACAACCCAGGAGCCATTATAGAGCTGGAAGTGCCTTTGGGTTTATCTTGGCCAATCCTCTCATTTCCTAATGAGGTAACTGAGGCCCATCAAGTGGGAAAAGAATGACCAATGTTACATAATAGCAAAACCTTTCATTCCTACTGGGCATCACAGTTTGATCCTTACCACGATCCTATGAAATAGGCAAAGCAGGTATTAACATCTCCATTTTATAGGTGAGGAAACTGTGGCTCTGAGAAGTTAAGTGACCTTCCTTAGGTTACAAATGGTAACAACAGACAACCAGATTTATAAAACAAAAGTATAGAAAAGAAAAGAAAATAATTGACAACCAGGTCTAACTCCAAGTCTTTGCTGACTTCTCTACAACTTGACTTTGAAAAGCTGGAGACGGCTGGCCGGTTAGCTCAATTGGTTAGAGTGCAGCCTTATAACAACACTAAGGTTATGGGTTTGGATGCCCTGAACAACCAGCCACCAAAAAAAGCTGGAGGGCCTAGGGCTCAGGCCTTGGCTTTCTATGTAATCTCGTATCTTCCCATGGCCTTATACACTGACTAGTTGCTGATGACTCTTAAATTCCTGTTTCCAGTTTCTACTTCTCCCCCAAACATCAGACTTGGATCGAGTCTATTTGTACTTCTAATGGACATCTTACCCCAACATGTTCAAAGAGCGTGCCTGATTCCTCCTCTCCCCTAAACTTTCTGATTCCACAGTCTTACCGTCTCAGAAAATAGCCCCACTATTCACCCAAAACCTAGTAAACATCTTTTATTCTACTTTTTCTTTCATACCCTATAATGAATGCACCATCAAGTCCTATTGGCCTATCTGCAAAATATACCCAGAATGGCACCCCTTCTCACCACATCCACCACTAGATACCATGCTAGCTCGTGTTACCTTCATGCCTGACTATGCTCTAGCCTCCCCAACTGGCCCCCTATAGTCTCTTTGCTATATAGCAGTGAGTAATCTTTTAAAGGTATAGGCAAGACCACAACACTTCTGCTCATAACCTTCCAGTGGCTCCCAATTACACTCAGAATAAACTCTACAATCCTTTTTTGTAGCCTTCAAGGCCTGGGCCTCCACCTTCTACCACCCTCCCTTTTGCTCACTCCACTTCAGCCACTTCTCAAATACACCAAGCTCAGTCCCACCATCTGCCCAAATCCCTTTCCTGATTCACATAGCTTGCTTCTCCTCTTCAGGTCTCTGTTCAAATGTCACTCCTTGAACACCTTGCCTCCTGTTGTTCTGTAGTCTATCTCGCTTTACTGTTCTTCACCTGACATATTTATTTACTTACTCACTGCTTGTCTCCTCTACTAGAATGAAAGCTCCATGAAAATGGGATTTTTGCTTGTCTTGTTTACTGCTGTGCTACAGATGTTCAATGATATTTGTTGATGGGGGGGAGGGGAGAGAGGGAGGAGGGAGGGAGGTGTCGGTGATGGGCCATAATAATCCCATAATAATCATATACAGTGTATGGGGGGGAGGGGAGAGAGGGAGGAGGGAGGGAGGTGTCGGTGATGGGCCATAATAATCATATACAGTGTATATTGACAAAATAAAAATTTAAAAAAAAATAAAATAAAATAAAATAAAATAAAATAAAATAAAAAAAAATGATATTTGTTGAATGACTAAGTGCTCCTCAAGAGTCCCCAGCCCCCAACCAATAGAGAAAAGACTGAGAGGTGTACAACCCTCTAAATGGGATTTTTGCTTGTCTTGTTTACTGCTGTGCTACAGATGTTCAATGATATTTGTTGAATGACTAAGTGCTCCTCAAGAGTCCCCAGCCCCCAACCAATAGAGAAAAGACTGAGAGGGTGTACAACCCTCCAGAAAAGACTGAGAGGTGTACAACCCTCTCCCTCACCCCCCAGTCCCTTACCTGTCTTTGTATTTGGACAACTTCTCTTCCTCCCAGGCAGTGTTTCCACCTCCAAAGTTGTCCCGGATGGTTCTCTCCAGGCCCTGGAAATGGAGAAAATTAGTAATAGCTAAGTACATGCCTTGCACATTCTAGCACTTGACTATTTTATACAACAGGAAACTGAGGCACACACAGGCAAACTGCTCAAGGCCATACAGCTAGTAAGCGACCAAGAGGGGATCTGAATGCAGATTTGCATCTCAGAGCTTCCCACTCTCAACCGCTGTGCTGTAGTAGCTGAGCCCCCTCCCACGAGGCTGCCGGTGCACCCACCTTGTTGAAGCTGTCGACCAGTCCTCGGCAGGTACGACACGGATGGGGCTCAGGTGGAGGAGAAGATTGGGGAGGCGGAGAGGGCTGGAGCCACACGAGGCTTGGGAGGCTGAGGAAGAGGCTCAGGCTGCAGAACAGAGCTGGTACCAGGCCCCTCGGGGGCCGTGGGGCCATCTTTTCCCAGGCCGGCGACCTGCAAATAGAGGGCGTGGCGTGGGTTCACTGGAGAAGCTCGACCCCGGGTGAGAAAGAATGGGGTCGGTTCTGGGGTGCCGTGAGGCTGGAGCCCAGATCTGCGTTATTAAAAGTAGGGGAAGCCAGACTAGGGCACTGCAGAGGCAGGGGGAATGAGGTGGTGGGAGAAGGAGCCTAATCTGCAATTCCGGGAGGGAAACGTTATCCCCGTTACCGGGGGGCAGGTGACCTGGATTCTTGGCAAGGGGGCAGGAGTCAGCCCATTGTTTTAGGGTCTGAAGAAGGTTATTACGGGCCAGATCAGCAGAATTAAGGAGAAAGTGTCAGATTCCAAGTATTAGGGAGAGGAGGCCGGTCAGGCGGTCTTGGGGGAGGAGTCCGGAACCGGGTCCTGGGGGGAGGAGCCCGGATCCGGATATGGAGAGAAAGGATCAGTTTCGGAGCCTCGCAAGCGGGTAGAGGCAAGGCCCACAAGCCGGTAAGGGGAGTATCCACACCCGCATAGAGCGCGGAAGAGGAAGAAACGACCGCCCCAGCGCGCGAGTGCCTTCGGCTCAGTCTCCTCAACGCAGCCTCTGCCACCGCCTGCGTAAAACGTACGGCCTCCACCGGCGCCGCAGCCCGGGGGACGGAGCCCGCCCTCAGCCAATGGCGGCAGGCCATGTGCCATTACGTCACCCCACGCCAGCCAACCAGAGGCGGCGCCGGGCTGCACCTGTCCCAGCTTTAAAGGGCCGCGGGGCGAGGGAGCTCATCTTGCCAGCCTAGCTGCTCCACCGTAGAGATACATGCGGGCAACGTGGATAGAAAAGCAGCGTATGCCTTTATTCAAGTCCTGTTCCCCGCCCCAGGTCCCATCCCGCATCCGGGCCCGGAATCCCCGAGGGCTGGAAGCAGCTGACCAGGGCGGGCTGAAGGGCCCGGGACACTTGCTCCGCCATCTCCCGGAGCCCCCCGGGGCGGGGGGCGCCGGGCCTCTGCAGGGCCCCTAGGAAGTCGGGCAGCTGCGAGGGCAGTGAGAAGACGGGCACGGTGCGGAAAAGGGTGGGCACGGCGTCCGGGTGGAGCAGTCCGTCGAAGCAGGCCCCCACGTAGCGGCCGGGAGCCCGGCCCTGCAGGAAGTCGGGCAGCACGCAGCTGAGCGAGGCGGCGAAGGCGTCGTGCGGGCTGTGCGCCCCGGGCGCGGCCGCCCCGTCCTGCAGCCACTCGCCGCACAGCGCCACGGCCCCGGGCGTGAAAAGCAGGACCACAGTGCCGCCCTCCTGCAGGGTCTGGCGCCGCTGCGCGTGGAACCAGGCCAGGGGTCCTTGCGCGCTCAGTTCACGACGGCTCCATAGGTCCACGGCTACGCGCAGCGGTAACCGACACAGCGCCGAAGCCAAGGCGCCCACCAGGCGCTCGAAGCCCGCGTCATCGGCGGAATAGAGGAGCAGGGCCGCTCGGCCCCTGGCGGCCGCTGCTAGAGAGAACAGAGGAGGGAGGGGGTGAGATGGCCAGAGGCCCGGCCCGCTGGCGGCGGCCCCCCGCCCCGCGCTTGCTCACACTCACCCCCCAAGCGGATGTCCTGCTTCAAGAGCCTCAGCCACCCTGTTAGGGGAGAGGGATGGGGGCAGCCAGTGAGCATGGCCACCGCCTTCCCTCGGAGAAACTCCCAGGCCCATTCTGGTCCTGCCCCTGGGGAACGGGGGCTGGGAAGCGCTCACCTTTCACGTGGTCCCTTTTGAAAAGGAGGAGGAGGAAAAGCGCAGAGACTAAGAGTAGGCAGGCCAGCCACGCCAGGGCCCAGCGCTTGTGGATGTCTGGGAGACCCAGGGAAGAAGACGAGTTAGTAAGAAACCCTACACTTCTACTCCACAGAGGAGAGAAACTGAGGCTTACAGAAATAAAGTGATTTGCCCAAAGTCCACAACAGCGTCAGAGCCTGGATGTGAACATAGCTCATCTGTTTGGGTGATCTTGGATAAGTGACTTCACCTCTGCCTCAGTTTTCACCTCTGTAAACTTGGGATAACAACAGTACCTACTTCATGAGGTTGTTGTGAGTACTAAATATATTAATACACATAAAGCACTTATTGTTGAGTATTGTTAAGTGCTCAAGTGGCAGCTAATATTGTCACCTTGGAGTTCATCAAAAAAGTACCTCACAGTCTCCACAAAAATTCATCTCTACCCACTTCACCTAGCTTAACCTTAGAGTGTGGTTGGAAACTTTCCTCCTCACCCCACCAAGGTCAAGTCCTTATTTTACAAATTTATAGCATTGAACACTTTATAGTGCTTCAATAACTCAATGATTGTGAGTTCATGCTTTTGTATATGCTTCAATAGCTCGCACTTACTAAATATAAGTAGTGATTGTTTGGCTCATGTCTTTCTAGTTTTCTGTGGGTGAGAGCAGGAATTGTATGTATCTTCTTGGTGATCCTGGAATCCCTACAGGCTCTCATCATGTTTTGTTTTTTTTTTTTTTAAAGATGACCGGTAAGGGGATCTTAACCCTTGACTCAGTGTTGTCAGCACCACGCTCTCCCAAGTGAGCTAACCAGTCATCCCTATATGGGATCCAAACCCATGGCCTTGGTGTTATCAGCACCACACTCTCCCGAGTGAGCCACAGGCCTGCCCCTCATCATGTTTTTTGAATGAATGAAGGAAGACCTGATTTATCTGAGCCTGGGAAGGACAAGGTCATTGCCCCCAGGAGTGGTCTCTGTCAAGATTCCAGCTCCTGGTACAGAAAGGAAGGGCAGTTCCTGTAATACTCACACTTGTCCATGGGACAGGCCCACAGAGCTCCCATGTCATCATCCCATAGCTGTAAGATACAAACAGAACCAAGTCCAGAGCCTCCAGCTTGTTGTTCAACACCCACCAAGTTCTGGTGAGCCTGATTTCCAATTCCCATCCTCAACTATGCATGTCCCCCCCACCCCCTCACACACAGCCAGTTCCTGCAGCTTCTCTGCCTTTACTTATGCTGTGCTGCTGCCTGGGCTAGGACTTCCTCCATACCAAACCTGGCCCGCAGGAAGAATCCTTCCTTGAAGCTCTCTCTGGAACCCAACACTTAGCACCTATGGATGTGACTGATTATCTGTTTACTGGTCTCTAGTCAGCAGTGAGCTCCCTGGGGACAGGAACTTTGCTTCTTCTACTCTTAATGTCCCCAGGGCTAGACACAAAATAAGTACAAATAGTAGATGAGTTCTAGCTTTAGGCCTGTTGCTACCTACTCACCTGCAGACACTGGCCTGACTGCAGATCTTGAAGTAACTCCTCTCCAAGGCGAGCTGCCCTCTGCCAATCCAAGGGATGGGGGATTGTCACCTGGGGGCACCACTGAGGAGACCACCAGGCTGCAGCTGGGCAGAATGGGGGTGGGGAGGGGCTGGGAGACTTTTGAGAGGCCACCGAGAATAGGGTCCAGGTCTGAGTCACCCCCATGTTCCCAGAGACCAGCACAAAGCCTGGCACAGAGTAGGGGAATATTGGATGGAGTACAATTTGAGCCCAGGTTTGAGATGGAGCTGAAGAGGTCTATGGAGGAGGGTCCTCCAACCCTCACCGTGGAGGCCCTGCTGGGCAGTAGAATACAGCCACTGGGTTCCAAAGCACAGAGTGATCTGTTATCCTGAAGGCCTCGTGTCTCCACCAGCAGCATATCATCCTTCAGTGGCCCCAGGGAATCTGAAAGGAGAGAGGCCACTCTAAGTGAGGCCCAGCCTTGCTAAGAATTGCCATTTGTCCCCCCTCCATGCCCTGACCTTCACTGCCAGGAGCGGGCACCTCCAGGGTTCACCCCTACTGCAGCCTCCCTGCCCCAGCCTCCCCCAGGCCCCACTTACCAGCCCACAAGCACTCTTGCAGCTGCAGCTTCTCCCAGCTGTTCACCTGCTTGGAAGGGGTCGGGGTTAGAGGCACTAGGAAAAGCAAGAGCCAAGGCCAGAAAGACCAGAAGAGAAGAGGCAGGCAACAGGAGACCTGTCGGGTTGGGAGTCTGCTCTCTGGACCTGACCACAGGCAGATGTGAGTTCAAGGCTGGATAATTAGGAGTCACTCCACCTTTCTCAGCCTCAGCCTTATGAGGTCATCTGTGCTAAAGCTCTTTTCATGTATTACGAAGCGTTTTATACATTCCCTTCGCATCTAACCACCTTCTCAAAGAGAAGATTCCCTTCTCACCTGACCGCCCCACTTAAGATTGCAAATCCAATCCTTCCTTATCCCTCCTCATTTTTCCATAGTATTTGCATACAATTTTAACATACTGCATAATTTACTTACTATGTCTATTGTCCATTTTTCTCCATTAGAACATAATAAGTTTTATGAGGGTGGGGACATTTATTAGTTTTAGTCACTGTCAAGTGCCTAAAACAGTGCCTGGCACATAGTAGATGCTCAATAAATCTTGAACAAATGAATATTTTTATAATCACCCTTTGAAGTTGTAGAGCAACTCATTCTACAGGTTGGGAAACAGGATGATGATAGCAATAATAAAAACAGCTAACATTTATTGAGCATTTAGTCTGTGCCAGTCCCTAAGGTGAAGCACTTCTCCAAGCACTTCCCTGAGGCCTAGTAACTATCACCCATCTGCATTAAACAGATGAAGAGGCTGACGTTCAGAGAGGTCGAGCAACTTGTTTAGGGTCCCATGCACTGCTAAAGTAAATAGTGGAACTCCCAGAAAGGAAGCCGTAACCACTATACAGTAGGGGCCCAAGAATAAAGTGGGTGCAGAGGGCAGTGACTTGTCTGGGGGTCCGTGCGAGGTCCGCCCCCAGCCCATCGCTCTGGCGCCCCTTCTGACCTGGACACAGAGGTTAGGGTGGCCTTTCAGCACAGGGAACTTGCGGGCCTTCTGTAGAAAGCGGGGGGGGGGGGGGGGAATGGGGGGGGTCACGAAAGGTGTCCCCTGGGCTCCCCTTTCTCCCCCCAACCCCGGGCGCCACACGCCGCATCTCTTACGTTCACAGTGACATTCTCCCAGGACAAAGGTGGGACAAGTGGCTGGCAGGAACCCCAGCCCGGTGCCTGCCAGCAGAGCACCGCCTCGGCGGATAGCGAGCACGGCGCATCCAGCCGCCAGCTCTGCGAAGGTAGCAGCTGAAGCTGGGCGGCACGCCAGAGGTTCCGGTGTGCGCGGGGGTCTGCAGGGAGAGGGTGCGGGTCACCGTGAGCCATGCACCCACCGACCCCGGCCTCCGGCCAGTTCACTCACCATCTTTGAAGGGGCAGATGCTTGTCCTGACGGAGTCGGGCTCCAGGGGCCACACCTGAAAAGGAAACAGGGCTCGGCTCAGGTCAGCTCAACCTAGCCAACCCTGCATGAGTATGTGCCAGGCCCTCTGCTAAGCACTGGGGACGCATTCATTCAGCCGGTATTTCACAAGGGTCTCCTCGCCTTTTACAAAGCCCTAGAGAGGCACACATATATTCTTCCAGCAAACACTATTCCGAACACTGGCAACATCTTATCTTGACAAATTTTTAATAAGTGCCCACTATGCGTCTTAGCAGTATGGTAGGAACAGGGGACATTTGGTAATTAATTTCAATTCATTCCACAGTCATTTTGTGAGCACCTACTATGTGCTGTTTCAGACACTAAAGACATATTCACTTAATCTTTCAATAGACCTTTTTTGTTTATTTTTTGCTTCTTTGTTCGCTTGATCCCAACCCTTGACCTTGGTATTACAAGGTCGAGCTCTAACCAAATGATCTAACTAGCCACCCTCGATAGACTTTTTTTTTTTTTTTTGTCCTTTTTGAGACCAGCCACACCGCGCTCAGCCAGTGAGCACACCGGCCATCCCTATATAGGATCAGACCCCGCGGTGGGAGCGCTGCTGCGCTCCCAGCGCCACACTCACCTGAGTGTGCCACGGGCTCGGCCCCCTCGATAGACTTTTTAAGAGCACCTATTATGTGATTAGCCCTGTGTTAAGCACTCTAGATAATTTAACTTATTCATCAAACCTTTCATTATTTATTTATTTTTTTGGTGGCTGGCCGGTACAGAGATCTGAACCCTTGACCTTGGTGTTATACAGCCACTCTCTAACCAACTGAGCTAACCAACCAGCCCAAACCTTTATTTAAGAGCACCTACTATGTAGCAGGCATTGTGCTTCATCTCAGGGACATTTATTTTTTTATTTTATTTTTAAATTTTTTTTGAAAAGATGACCAGTAAGGGGATCTTAACCCTTGACTTGGTGTTGTTAGCAACACTCTCTTCCAAGTGAGCTAACCGGCCATTCCTATATAGGGATCCGAACCTGTGGCCTTGGTGTTATCAGCACCACACTTTCCCAAATGAGCTACAGGCTGGCCCTCAAGGACATTTAAATCACAGCAAATATTTCATGAACATCTGCTATGTATTCTATTGCTGTACTAGGCAGTAGAGATTCATTCACTCATTCAGCAATTAGCACCCACTGTATGCCAGACACTGTGCAAGGCTCTGGCAAAGTCATTACACTTGAATTATATATGATTTACTTGCCTTCAAGAAAGTCATAAACTTAGGGCCAGCCAGTGGCTCACTCGGGAGAGTGTGCTGGTGATAATACTAAGGCCACGGGTTTGGACCCTATATAGGGATGGCTGGTTGGCTCACTGGCTGAGCGTGGTGCTGACCACACCAAGCCAAGGGTTAAAATCCCCTTACCGGTCATCTTTTGAAAAAAAAAAAAAAAGAAACAAACTCACAGTTATAGTAAGGATAAAAACATATATATAAATTAGTAAATCAATCACTTTTCAGAAATATTTATTGAGCATCTGTTGTGTGCAAGAAGAAATTAGATGTCCAAATAAGAAAGGAAGTGGTAAATGGACAAGGAAGGACAGAAGTACAAGGGGACCTGGAGCTAGGAGAGGCCAGGTGGTTAGGGAAAAGCTTTGAGAAAGAGATAACATATGAACTGGGAGGATTTGGTTGTATGGAAAAGGGGTGAGGGCATTTCAGGTAGTAGAAATGGCCTGAGCAAAGGCAGAGAGGTGGGTGTATCTTGATTAGTAGCTCTGTTGGATGTAACAAAGTCCCATGAAGGGAAATCGTGGGGAAAATATAGTGAAAAACGTGCAGCTGGGGGCAGACTATGGAGCCCAGAATGCCAAGGAGGTGGGGCTGGAGGTTACTGAAACAGTCTAAAGGAGAGATGATAGAGACCCAAACTGGACTGAAATGGAGAGGAGGGGGAAAGAGAATGAGAGACATTAGTGTCAGAGGTAAAATGAATGAGACTTGATGACCAATTAAATGTACAATAAGAGGGAGAGGAAAGAGCCAACATGTTTTAGCTTGGATGTGGCACACTTCCCTATAACAGCCCTATGAGGCTGGAACTATTATTATTCCCATTTTATAGATAGTAAACGGGCTCAGACAAGTAAAGTGACTTGCCCAAGGTCACACAGCTAAAAAATGGCAAGATCCAGGATTCAAACCAATCTGAGTCCACAGCACATGCTCTGCCCTCCAGGGGAGAACAGAGAGGGAATTGGAGGAGTAGAGGAAGTCTTCAAGGAAGAGGTGACATCTACATGGGGCTATGAAGCATAAGTAGGAGTCCTGTGGATGGAAGATCAGGAAGAGGTAGAAGGCACAGGACAGCAAAGGTCAAGAGAGGGCCAGCCACCACAGGGAGCCATGGGCTCTACCTCAAAGAGGAGTGTGGATGGTGGTGAGACCAGGAAGGTGGGGACCGCCTCCCTCTTAATCTCCCCAATTCCCTGGCACCCAGTTGGACTCTGCACCTACCTGAATACAGAGGCAGGGAACTAGGTCTGTGAAGTTCAAGGTAATAGTCTGTGGCCCAGTCTGTGGAACAAGCAGAAAGAGGGAAGTTGGAGAAGACAAGGAAAAGGTAGAAAGGGAGAGCAAAGTCGAGGACCTGAGGCAGGCAGAAGTTCCCCCACCAATGTCCCCTGGCTTTGGGTATGTCCTCTTCCAAGATCCCCTTTTTTTTTTTTAAAGATGACCGGTAAGGGGATCTTAACCCTTGACTTGGTGTTGTCATCACCACGCTCAGCCAGTGAGCTAACCGGCCATCCCTATATGGGATCCGAACCCGGGGCCTTGGTGTTATCAGCACCTCACTCTACCGAGTGAGCCATGGGCCGGCCCCCAAGATCCCCTTTGATAATGCATGCGCACCCTCAGCATAGGCATTAGCCTCAAGTGAGAATGGACTTGGGGAGAGGGAGTCCTCACCAGGTTTTTGTGCCACCAGGGTTTTGGGGGGCCCTGGACCTGATTCCAGTACAGGGAAAGGCCAAAGTGCTGTTCCTCAGAGACATCCAGAACCAAGCGCACATTGTCACCATCTGCAGACATGTTGAGCCAGGGCAGGGCTGGTGGGAGAAGTAGAGAGAAAGAGGACAGCTTAGACTTCCTTCACCTCTTCTGCACACTCAAGCCTGGGCCAGACCCACCAAATGACCCTTTGTTGTTTCCTTAAAAATCCTTAGACTGGGGGCCGGCCTGTGGCTCACTCGGGAGAGTGCGGTGCTGATAACACCAAGGCCACGGGTTCAGATCCCTATATAGGGATCTGAACCCGTGGCCTTGGTGTTATCAGCACCACACTCTCCCAAGTGAGCCACCCGGCCATCCCTATATGGGATCCGACCCCGGGGCCTTGGTGTTATCAGCACCACACTCTCCCAAGTGAGCCACCCGGCCATCCCTATATGGGATCCGACCCCGGGGCCTTGGTGTTATCAGCACCACACTCTCCCAAGTGAGCCACCCGGCCATCCCTATATGGGATCCGACCCCGGGGCCTTGGTGTTATCAGCACCACACCTCACTCGGGAGAGTGTGGTGCTGATAACACCAAGGCCACGGGTTCAGATCCCTATATAGGGATGGCCGGGTAACTCACTGGGTGAGTGTGGTGCTGACTTCACCAAGCCAAGGGTTAAGATCCCTTTACCGGTCATTTTTTAAAAATAAAAATAAAAAATAAATAAAACAAATCTTTCTCCTCTGGTCAGAACCCTCTGATGGCCCCCATATTACTCCCAGTAAAAGCTAGAGTCCCTACATTAACCTGCAAGGCCCTACCAAATCTGGCCATTGTGACCTCTCTAACCTAATCTCCTAGTACTAGTGTCCTTAATTACTCTGCTGCAGACAACATTGGTCACCTTACTATTATTTAAACACACCCAACACACCCCTGCCCCAGGCCCTTTGCACTGCCTATTTCCTCTATTCTCGGATACTCACATGGCTCCTCCCTCACTTCCTTCAGGTCCTGGCTCACCAGTGAGGCCATCCCTGACTGCTGCAACTCTCAACCTTCCTATTCCCCTTCCCCAGATTTTCTCCATAGCTTTCGTCACCACTTCACTTACTGTATGCTTCACATCTCCATGTGTTTATTGTATCCTTCCTGAACCCCACCCAAGCCTCAACTCCCAGCTCCATGAAGGCAGGGATTTTTGTCAGTTTTGTTTATTGATTTATCGCCAATGTCTAGGGCTGTACCTGGTACAGAGTATTTGTTCAATAAATATCTGTTGAATAAGTAAAGCAATGTGGTTTTTATTTTTGTTTTTTTTTAAAGATGACCGGTAAGAGGATCTTAACCCTTGACTTGGTGTTGTCAGCACCACGCTCTCCCAAGTGAGCCACGGGCTGGCCCTAAGCAATGTTTACTGAATAAATGAAGAAATGGAATGCATGATGTATATCTGTGTTTTCAAAACTCTGGTGCTGAGTAGTCTTTCATAGATTGCCAAGAAAGCAGGCCGAGTTTATGTTTAAAGAACCCAAAAGAAAATGAGGTTGAAAAAATTTAATAGTTCAAAAAAAAATCAGTGTTTATATCTTTTTTTTTTTTTTTCTTTTTAAAAGATGACCACTTGGGGCCGGCCCGTGGCTCACTCGGAAGAGTGCGGTGCTGATAACACCAAGGCCCCGGGTTCGGATCCCATATAGGGATGGCCGGTTCGCTCACTGGCTGAGCGTGGTGCTGACAACACCAAGTCAAGGGTTAAGATCCCCTTACCGGTCATCTTTTTTTTCTCACTCTCCTGAGTGAGCCACTGCCAGCCCCACAGTGTTTATATATTGATCTTGGTGCTAATTATGCAAGTATATACATATGTAAAAACTAACACAACTGGGGCTGGCCTGTTAGCTCAGTTGGTTGGAGCGTAGTGCTGATAACACCAAGGTCCAGGGTTCAATCCCTTTACTGGCCAGCTGACCAAAAATGTCCAAAAATTAAACAATTGAACTGGACATTAAAATTAATGCACTTTATACACTTTTCTGTGTATGTTATTCACAACAAAAAAGAAAATACAAAACAAAGAATGAACAAAACAGAAAAAATAAGAACCTTGATTTTCTTAGCCGATTTTAAAATTTAATATTTTAAAAATTTTGCTGTGTAGAAGGGGGCACCAAAAACTTGACAATGCCTTGGTCTGCTAGAAGTTCCTGGTTACTAATAGATATTTATTATAAGGAGTGAGAGATTCATCTCTATATTCCCAGTGTCTGGCACAGAGTAGCAGCTACTGCACTTCATGTGCTATGGATGGATGGAAGAATGAATGAATGTGTTCTATGAGCTTCCAGGTTGTGTCAGCCCAGATCTGAAGCTGGTTCCAAGGGTCCCTCACACTCCAGACCTTGCCCTCCCTCTTCCCAGCCCACTGACCCTAGCCCCTACCCCAGCAGCTCTGGATGCTGTCCCGGACTTCGAGCCCCCTGCAGTCTGAGGAGAGATCACAGAAAAGCCTCCAGTGGGGCTGGAGGCCAAGGAAAGAAGAGGGGAAATCCAACCGGGGGCGAGGGGGCACTGGGGAGGAATCCCTGTCCCCAAATACCACCCACATCTATCCAGTGCACAAAGCCCCTTCTCCAATGGCTGGAAAGCCATGTCACCTTGGGAGAAGAGGCCCAAGGGACTGACTCTCAGGAGTATGTAAGCTCAGACCCCTGCCTGAGAGTTAACAGGACAAGGAAGAGGGTGAATGCAGGAGGGAAGTGGCGAGAGGGGACAGACACTAGGGAGGCCAGGACTTAGGGGCCCTGAGGCTCTAGGGCCACTCACCAGGCAGCTGCTGTGTGATGTTGAGTTCCTTCTGGTACCTGGGCTGCGTGTAGGACCAGATTCGCACCTCACTGCCCAGAGCAGCCTCGAAGCAGTCGTATACTACAGAGCCCTGTGAGAAGAGCGGTGGGGCAAGGTGGTGCCGGAAGGCTCAGAATCCAGGCCAAGGGCTGTGGGCTTCTCTGCGTGGACCACTCTGTGCACCACCCTTCTTCCGCAACCAATGAGTGTATTTTTACTACCATTAAAATTTCCTTCAAGGGTCCTCCATTCTAAAGTAAACATCCTCAGGAAGGGTGTCAGCAGGGCAGGAATAGGCCCCAGCTTTTTGAGCCCTTGCCCCTACCTCTGCTGTCCTGGATCACCTGGCCAAATCTAAGGGGATAAGACACCCCAACACAAATGTGGAACACCCCTCCCTACAGAAATGGTTTTTAGGGCCGGCCTGTGGCTCACTCGGGAGAGTGTGGTGCTGATAACACCAAGGCCATGGGTTCGGATCCTATATAGGGATGGCCGGTTCGCTCACTGGCTGAGCGTGGTGCTGACAACACCAAGCTAAGGGTTGAGATCCCCTTACCGGTCATCTTT